AATAACAATGACCGACTGCCTCCTTGCGCAGGGATGAACCCGGCCCAGCCCGAGTTCATGCGCGCACGCGGCAAGCGCAGGGCGAGGGGGAATGGAGCGGAGTGCGGGCGGTCGAGCGACTCCGACGAGGAGTGGACGGGGAGGAGAAAGAGGAAGGAGGTGGCGATGCACGGAGGACGAAGAGGCAAACGTAAAAGGGCGCTTGCAGACCGTGCAGAGACCCCCTGTAGACTCACACAGAGACCCCCTGTAGACTCACACAGAGACCCCCTGTAGACTCACACAGAGGCCCCCTGTATACTCACGCAGAAACCCCCTGAAGACTCACAAAGAGACCCCGTGTAGAATCACACAGAGACCCCTGTAGACTCACACAGAGACCCCTGTAGACTCACACAGAGACCCACTCTCGACTCACGCAGAGACCCCCTGTAGACTCACACAGAGACCCCCTGTAGACTCACGCAGAGACCCCCTGTAGACTCACATAGAGACCCCTGTAGACTCACACAGAGACCCCCTGTAGACTCACACAGAGACCCCCTGTAGACTCACGCAGAGACCCCCTGTAGACTCACGCAGAGACCCCCTGTAGACTCACACAGAGACCCCCTGTAGACTCACGCAGAGACCCCCTGTAGACTCACACAGAGACCCCCTGTAGACTCACACAGACCCCTGTAGACTCACACAGAGACCCCCTGTAGACTCACACAGAGACCCCTGTAGACTCACACAGAAACCCCCTGTAGACTCACACAGAGACCCCCTGTAGACTCACGCAGAGACCCCTGTAGACTCACACAGAAACCCCCTGTAGACTCACGCAGAGACCCCCTGTAGACTCACACAGAGACCCCTGTAGACTCACGCAGAGACCCCTGTAGACTCACACAGAGACCCCTGTAGACTCACGCAGAGACCCCCTGTAGACTCATGCAGAGATCCCCTGTAGACTCACGCAGAGACCCCCTGTAGACTCACACAGAGGCCCCCTGTAGACTCACACAGAGACCCCCTGTAGACTCACGCAGAGACCCCTGTAGACTCACACAGAGACCCCCTGTAGACTCACACAGACCCCTGTAGACTCACACAGAGACCCCTGTAGACTCACACAGAGACCCCCTGTAGACTCACACAGAAACCCCCTGTAGACTCACACAGAGACCCCCTGTAGACTCACGCAGAGACCCCTGTAGACTCACACAGAAACCCCCTGTAGACTCACACAGAGACCCCCTGTAGACTCACACAGAGACCCCCTGAAGACTCACACAAAGACCCCTGTAGACTCACACAGAGACCCCTGTAGACTCACAGAGACCCCCTGTAGACTCACGCAGAGACCCCTGTAGACTCACACAGAGACCCCCTGTAGACTCACGCAGAGACCCCTGTAGACTCGCTTGATGAAGCTGGTTGTAATCACCAGCGGAACCAAGTTAAATGCCCGCTCACGGCCAACACCAGTGACGACGATCCGAACCGGTCCTGAGCCTCCCCTAGGTTGACTCAGCGTCAAAATGAGTACCCGGTGCAGTGGTGTGTAGTAAACATCACAACCGGGGAGACAAAGACGGTCGGGCGTGTTGCTAGCTGCCCATCCCCCCGTGTGCCGTGCTGGCCTTCGTAGATGCTGCTTGCTGACAGCACTTGACCGCAACAGTCTGTGAAGGCTACACGGGGCATCTTTTTAATTGTGGACCGAGTTGGCACAGTCGCGGGCACAGGTGGTGCATCTGGCAGTCATCTAAGTAAACCTATGGCACCTGCAGGGTCCGTCTCGTGACCTGCACCTAGCCTGGCACAACAGTCAACCCATGGCATGGCACCTGGTTCTGTCCTGTGACAACAGTCTGTTAAGGCGGCACAGGGGAGATCATTGACTTTTTGGTAAATATGTGAGTGAGTAAATGTTTGCATGCATAAATACGCGTGTGGGTGTGTTCACACGTGTGTGTGTGTGTTAATGCATTTCCGTGTGTTCACACGTGTGTGCGTGTGTTAACGCGTGTGCATATGGGGAGCGGTAGTGTAGCGGTTAGCGCGCTGCGCTATGAACCCGGCGACCCGGGTTCGATTCCCGCTCACGGTCAACACCACTGACGATTATTTGAACCGGTCCTGGGCCTCCCCTATGTCGGCTCAGCCTCAACTGAGTACCTGGTGCGGTGTGTAAACATCACCACTGGGGAGACAAAGACGGTCGGGCGTGGTGCTGGCCACCCACCCCCTCGTGTACCGTTCTGGCCTTCATAGGTGCTCACTAACAGCACTTGCCCCTACAGTCTGTTAAGGCTATACGGGGGAGCTTTGTCCTTGCATATGTTCATGCGTGTCCGTGTGTTCACACGTGCGTGCGTGTGTTCACGTGTGTGCGTGTGTTCACGTGTGTGCGTGTGTTCACGTGTGTGCGTGTGTTCACGCAGGAGGAGGCAAGGGGGCTGCTTCACGCTGGGCCACCGTGGGAGAGTCGCACGCGAGGGCAGCTCCCAGCAAGCGCAAGGTCTCTGTGCACAGCGCACGGCACTCCTCTCGTTACATCTGCTGCTGCTGTTGTCTTTAGTTTGTTGTCCTTCCCCCGCACCTCCCATTAGCGAGGTTGGCTACGTACGGTGACAAAGAAATCCAACGTACATACATACTACTAGACACTGCTATACCAGGGACGTGCAGTCAGGGGAGGCAGGCGAGGCAGAGCCTCACCTGTCATATACTCCAATGAAAATAGCTGTTAGGGGCCGTCCATAAATGACGTCACGTGATTTTTGACGATTTTTGACCCCCTCCCCCCCTCGTCACACAGCGTCACAAAAAGTCAGACCCCCCCTCAAATATGACGTCACAAAGCTCTGCCCCCACCCCCAAAAAAAAAAAACATGCTTCAAATCGCTTTCAACTATTGTCATTGTAGTGCGTATTTAATGTGGCGCTGCACTCTGATGTTGTAGGAGAAAACATTTATTTAAAAGTCGAAATAATTAAGTAGAACGTGTTGTCTATATTTATTTAAAGTTGTGCATTTTGATGTGACGTCACATTTCTCAACCCCCCCCCCCCTCGTCACACATCGTCACAAACGTCTGACCCCCCCTCCCCCCCAGGTGCGTGACGTCATTTATGGACGGCCCCTTACGAAAGTGAAAAAAATGTTCCACTGATTTGTGTTATAAATGTAATTTCTGTATAATTCCAATCATTACAGAGAGATAGTAACAGGCACGCGCTTATTGCCCGCGCTCCATCCAGTTTCTGAGGGGTTGCGCAATCAAAGGGGAGGCTGAGCTTGTCGCTGCCTCACCTCTCGTCTCCCTGTATTTGCAGCGGAGCGCCGCAAATTTGGCGATTTTGACTGTCAAAATGATTGGAATCGTACAGAAATGACGTAACACAGATCAGTGGAAAAATCTAAATTTTTTAATCCTTTATATTAAGTTCACTTGCTTGCTTGCTTGCGCGCTTACGACCGTGCAAATCTTTCGGTCGTTTTTTAACCCACTTCCCGTGATCCAATCGAGCTGACATTTTGCACACAGACTCGTTGTGCGTGACAATTTATTTTCGTGAAAATTTTTTCCATAACTTTACACTTTTTAGGAATTTTTTTTTAATATTTAATTACCAATTGCTTAATGGTGGCAGGCAATCATCTGACCCATAGGTGGCAGCCATCTCAAACCAGAGGACGAGAGGACTCTAGCCGCCATGCATATAAAGGATTTATAGTGAAAAACTTTGTTTTTATGGGTTAACTTTTTACTTTGTACTTTTCGTAACAGCTATTTCCATTGGAGTATAACAGGTGAGGCTGTGCCTCCCCTAACTCGCCTCACCACGGGGAGAGAGAAAAAAAAGACGAAGACTCCAAATATACAGCAGCAGGCGTCAGGGTCAGGATCGAACCCATGACCTCCTGCGTACCAGGCGAGGTTGTTAACATCTCCTAGCCACCATGCCCCCTCTGCATGGCACTCTGGTACAACGTTTGGGCTTATTATTATAATTAGTTTATTAATTAGTTTAGTTGTGAAGAGGCTTGGCCTGCCATACCCACCGAGGTTCAGCATGACGGCATGGTTCTGCTTGATGTATGGAATCAGATTTACAGAATCAGAATATCAGAATTAGAATATGTATTGTACTGGAGGAATCCGATGAGGTGTCAGGCTCGAGATCGAACCCGCGACCTCCTGCGTACCAGGCGAGGGAGTTAACATCTCCTAGCCACCGCTGGTCACCGCACCAACTCCGCCCCCCACACCCCCTCCGCCCCCTCACCCCACCGCCCCCTCCGCTCAGACTAAAGCGGAAGCCCTGGAGTACGTGTGGAGCATCTTGCAGGGCGTGGAGGAGGAGCAGCAGCAGGAGGAGGAGGAGTTCAGGGGATTTGAGCTGAGGGAGGTGCACAAGGCCAGGATGGCGATGTTCAGGCTGGAGCGCAGAGCCACCGCCTGCAAGGAGGCCCTGAGGGTGGCGCTCCAGAGGATACGTGGAGGTGCGTAGCCTGCAGCGGTGATTTCTATTCACACCGCAACTCCACGCTCCCCTCTATTCTCACTGGAACTCCACACTCCCCTCTATTCCCACCGGAACTCTACACTCCCCTCTATTCTCACCGGAACTCCACACTCCCCTCTATTCTCACCGGAACTCCACACTCCCCTCTATTCTCACCGGAACTCCACACTCCCCTCTATTCCCACCGGAACTCCACACTCCCCTCTATTCTCACCGGAACTCCACACTCCCCTCTATTCCCACCGGAACTCCACACTCCCCTCTATTCTCACCGGAACTCCACACTCCCCTCTATTCTCACCGGAACTCCACACTCCCCTCTATTCTCCGGAACTCCACACTCCCCTCTATTCTCACCGGAACTCCACACTCCCCTCTATTCTCACCGGAACTCCACACTCCCCTCTATTCTCACCGGAACTCCGCAATCTTCTGTTGCTGCTGATGGAAGTCGCCACTGCTGTTGATGCTACTGCTACATGTGCTCCTGTCAGGGCTGCTGCTGGTACTGATGCAGCCTATGAACTAAACGATGTTTATTTTACCAGGGTAAGCCCCACTGAGCTGTGTAACTGTTTTTCAGAAGCGACCTGGCTATCACAAATGAGAGCTCAACGAAGTGACTTGTCATCATCATCATTACGTGGACATTTACAGCAGCCAAATGTTGTATATGTTGGGTATGAAAATTTGTTATGTTGTATGCGTGCGTGGGTGAAATTATTATGTTGTATATGTGGGTTATGAATATTCAGTGGAAATAATAATAATTAAATGAAATTTGGCCAAATGTGTAATTATCCGGAAATATGTTAATTTATGTAATTACGCACATTTTAATTATGCCAATTCGAGAGGTAATCGTATTAATTATGCGAGTGGGTGTAATTATGATAATGCAAGTCGTTATGATAACCAGACCCCGGTTCACCCCGTTATCGCTTTAACATTTACTGAGTATGTATTAGTGTGTTTATTAAGGTCACCAAGTTCAAATCTCAACGCAGAAGCAGATCTTATGCATAGATTTCAGGAAAGAATCACACAACCACTTCTGTATTGATCAATTTATTACTAATTCAACCTTAACTATGATATAGTATGCGAACTCTCAATCCCGGAACGTCAATACGGCATCAATACAGTATCATCAACGATTGTCTGATTTCACTTTGACAACGGCACATGGATCCCGCATAACGCGATGGTTGTTAGTGAGAGAGAGAGTCGTTAAAACATGCAAATACTATGCTAAGAAAACCTTAACGTTAATGAATGATTATACTCAATATTGTTCACGCAGTACCGCACTCCTTATTGATCATACGCAACCCTTATCACGTTGTTAACACCTTGGGTCACGGAACAGTTGAATATTCTGTAGAGGATGCGAGTACGTGCGGCGATTATGACTGAAAGATACTTGAAAGATTATACGGCGATAAAAAAAACACAATCAAAAACAGTTATTATTCTTAAAGGCACCAATCTCAACAGATACATCGGCAGGTTATCTCAGAACGGCTCGGAGTAAGGGCCTGCGACGGTGCTCCTTTTCCGAAGATCGTTATCTTATACCAAGTTTACTAATTGGGGACCAGATCACCTGATAAGGATCCGGTGGGCCACCACTCCCCACGTGAGCGTGGCTCGGCGGAAGGAGGTGCCAAGAATCAGTTCGTATTGATGGATCTGTTGGGAATTTATGCGATTAAGAGTACAGCCCACTAAATATTAAAGATAAAATCAAGAATACTCCTATAAGAGACGGAGGGCCATCACTCGGTCTCGTTGTGATGCTTTCCAGCCACGGATGGCTTATGGGTTCGAGTGTTTTTGAGTGGTAAGAGTTGTCTTGAATAGTCAGTGTTCGGAGTCGATTCTTTAGGTCAAACAGACGCCTGGTGGTCGTGTGGTGAGGGGGCGGTGCGCGTCATACGTATCAGTCGATCCCCTGTCACCGTGGTGGTTCGGATGGCTGTTGATACGCTGTCGCAGTTCGGAACCCGGTCGGTAGGTGGCGCCCACAACTCGCTCGTAGCGTGCAGCGCTGGATCGTCGCCAAACCGCAACGATCACCACTCCGGCGGCAGCAGAGACCTCCGGCGGCAGCAGAGATTGACGAGCTGAAGATGAGTCGAGCCGACCCGCTGGTCGCAGCTCGCTCCTGAGTCGACCCTCCCGGTCGAGCTCGCTCCTGGGTCGACCCGCTGGTCGCCCTCGCTCCTGAGTCGACTCTCTGGTCGCACTCCTGAGTGGACCCACTGGTCGCACTCCTCCTGAGCCGACTCTCCCGGTCGCGCTCCTGAGTGGACCCTCTCGTCGCACTCGTTCCTGAGTCGACCCTCCCGGTCGAGCTTCTGAGTGGACCCTCCCGTCGCACTGGTTTCCAATGCTCAGGATCCGTTCCTTTATGCCGAAAAATCCCCCTGGATCCCGCCCACAAGGCGGGGCTTCCGATTTTTGCTGTGTCAGGATCTGTCCGTAGGCAGGTGTGTCCATGTGTGTGTCCGTACGTCCGTGTGTCCTTGTGTGCATCACTGACGGTATATTCCGTTGTCACACTCCCTCCATAAAACCCACGAGCAAACAATCAGATGTTACAAATTGCCTCGAAGTCGTCTCTCTGTCTGGGTGCAATATTATCTCTTGTCTGGCCTTCTTCATGAACCCAAAACACAGACGTTACAAATCGTCTCATAGGCGTCTTTGTTCGTGTTGCACAACCTGGAGGGAGGGGCAACACTCTCTCCGACCCGGCGCACAAAGAAATGGTTAAAAAGTTTTAAGTTAACATTTGTCCCTTACTATTTCACAGTTATGATTCTGTATGTAACCTAAGGTCTGTCGTTTCCCATCGTGGTGCTTGACTCCAGTGGAGGTGTTTCCCCGAGCGTATACACACTCCTATCCCGCTCTGCGGGGATACAAAGACGGCCGGGATCTCCCTTTCTCTCCGACCCTGGGTTTAACATCGTTTTTTTTTTATTATGTATTTATATTCGACCTGGTGGTGATTCATCTCGTTATCCTGGCTTTTCCATAAGTTTTACTTTTGTCTTTTCATGCATATACTTATTACTATTAATTTATTTCCGATATCTTAGGTTAAGGGGTAAGTTTCTTGATCCTAGGAATTCGTATTCCTTGGTGCCTGCATGGTTATATAAGCGGAATATAGTTTACGGTGAATAGCGTTAACATTGATGTTATGTGCGATATTATGTATTGTGATGTCTTTAACTTAACTTGTTTGTCAGAGCTTTACTGACACGAAGTTGCATTTCATAGCCCGCAGTCTTTGCCCCACCCTATCTCTGCTCGCCGTTGTTGTTGCCGTCCAGCTGCCGTTAATTCAAGGCCTCATTAATTTCCGTCACTCCTGAGTAGGTGAGGGCGGTTGAACCTTGGAGTCAGTTCTGGTTTTTGTCTGCCTGCTTTTTCTTGTGTCCCCTGACCCCGGGAGTTATTATTCTACTTTATGGCCTGTCGAAGCCCCACTCGCTGTTGCTGGGCTGGTGTTGTTCCCGGCTTTTTGCTTACGTTTGCAGTTCGCCGTGCTCTTAATTTCCTTCCCTCGTCAACCTTATATCGACTATTCGCTCCTGTCTGGGTGCGATTCAGTTTTAACTTAGGAAGGTTCTGATTGTCATATGCTTCGGGTCGAGTTGTATAGAAAGTATTGAAGTATGGAAATAACATTTCATATTGACTTAATAATGGTGATGGTTCAGTAGGCGTAACTTGTGGCCTGGTTTAATTGGAGTGGGTGTGAATATCAATAACTTTAGCCTACCCTGTTGTTAAATTCCGACTTTAACGTTACTTTAATAGCAATACAGAATAATTGAGCTTTTTGTCTTAACTAGGCGAATGCGAACTTCTGGTGACCCCCGCAGCCTTGTTACTCAGCTGGGTCTTGCCCGCCTTGAGAGATATACAACACTCTTTTAAATCACCTCTCCCCCTGTCCAACCTTCTGCTCTGGGAGTGTTATTCTTGATTCCAGGTCCAAGGCCCCCTCACATTCAGACGCGCAGGGTTGTTTACATCAGCTCCCCCCCCTGTGCACGTGTTCTAACTAGCTCGGAATCCCTGAACACACAATCAGTGATGATTCCTGGCTTTCTGTGGTTGTGATTTAGACAAAGGCGCCTCTGTCTTCTTCCATTGCCTTTGAGTCGACACTGCCCTATTATTTGCCCATGTGCTGAGGTCATAGAATTCGTTTTGACTTCAGTAATATTAACATTCAGTATTGGATTAGCAAATGGGCAATGGTTCATTTATGTAGCTCGCAGCCTGGTCTCCAATTTGAGCGAGCGCGAGGATCGATACTTTAGCCTACTCTGTTGTTGAATTTCGAATTTTGACGTTACTTTAAAACCATGCAGGATGGTTGGGCTTTTTGCCTTAACTATGTCTGGCTGACACTCCCACTGTCTCTGCCGCCTGCACGGGTGACATGTGCCCGTTCATCAGGCCTTATCTTTCCTTGAAGCAAGGTTGCAAATTCTGCCATCCTAGCCCTCCTCCAGTTCATTACTTAACAACACCTGGTGTTTTGCAGTTTGCTGCGCTTGGTGTGTTTCAATCATTAAAAAAACAAGTAAAAAGATAATATATAAAAATCATCAAATATTATTAATCTCAATTATGGAAGAAGGGTTAGGATACAACACAAATACTCTCAACACGTGACGTTGATTCTAAATGTCGAGGGGAAAAACCGGAGGACCCGGAGAAAAATCCACGCAACCACGGGGAGGTTCAACACGCAAACTCCAAATATACAGCGTGGGTCGTCAGGGTCGGGATCGCACCCACGACCTCCTGTATTCCAGGCGAGGGAGTTAACATCTCGCCACAGAGGAGAGAGAGACACGAAGACTCCAAATATACAGCAGGCTTCGTCAGGGTCGGGATGGAATCTGCGACCTCCCGTATACCAGGAGAGGTAGTCAACATCTCGCCGTGTTTGCCTGCAGGCTCCTCCGTGCCGCCGGCCTCCGCCCAGGCTGTGGCGGTGTCGCGCAGCGCTCGCTCTCGCTACGGCCTGCGCCCGCGCGAGAGGAAAGTCTACACAGAGGTGGAGGAGCCCCAGGACGACGACTTCTTCTGTGAGACCCCCTGCTCCCCCTACCTCTCTCTCACTTTCTCACAATGTCAGTTTGTCACACTCTCATACTCTTAGTTCTTTCGGTAAAGTCACGTAAGTAAAAAATGAAATAAAAATTTATAAAAATAAAATAAAAATCACGACGTTTCGGAGGCAACACAAGTCTCCGTCATCAGGTGGGACCGTCACAGCCAGATTTGGTGCATTATTTTATTATTTATTTTATTAATTTTAATTTCATTTTTTACCTACGTGACTTTACCGAAAGAACTAAGAGTATGAATCCTTGCAGTCACGAAAGCTTCAAATCTAGAATGTCACACTCTCACCCATCAGTTTGTCACACTCTCACCCATCTCTCTCTATTGCTCCCGCACTCTCACTCGATATATTCCACTTGCTCCCTCTCACACGCTCCCTTTCTCACACTCTCACTTACCTCTCTCTCTTTTGCTCCCTCACTCAGGGATGCAGGGAGGGATGCAGGGAAGGTGACAGGGTTTACATCTCCGATGAGTGAGCTAAAGAAGTTCCCCATGCAGAGAGGGAGGGAGGGAGGCATCTGTCTGGAGCGCTCCTCACCCTCTCACCCTCTCACAGTGCCACTGCTGCTGCTGCTGTTGCTACTGCGGTTCACCCTCCTCCCGCTGCTGCTGCTGTGGCTCTCAGTCTGCGAGCTGTGCAGGGATTTCTACCTGGGGGAGTGCTCCGTGCACGGCCCGCCAGAGTTCATCGCGGACGCGGCCGTGGCCCCGGGAGTGGCCAACAGGGCCCGGCTCAGCCTGCCCCAGGGCCTCACCGTCGGCGCCTCCTCCATCGCCGGCGCCGGCCTCGGGGTGTGGAGCAACAGGAAGAAGCTGCCCAAGGGGGTGATGTTTGGGCCCTACCAGGGAGAGGTGTCTGAGGAGAACCCCATGAGCGAGTACTGCTGGCTGGTGAGCTGCTGCTGCTGCCACTGCCACTGCTGCAGCCTCCTCCTATTCCTACATCATCATCGTGTTTGTGGAGAGGAGGCTCGTGAAGGAGATACAGAGAAACCCATAGCCTCACACAGTCACCCACAGACTCACACAGTCACCCAGAAACTGGCACAGAGAGACCCAGAGACTTTGCACAGAGACCCAGAGGCTCGCATAGAGAGACCCACAGACTTGCACAGAGACCTAGAGACTTGAACAGAGACCCAGAGACTCACAGTGGGACACACAGACTCACACAGAGACCCAGAGACTCGCACAGAGAGACCCAGATACTCACACATAGGCTCAGAGAATCGCACAGAGACCCACAGACTCACAGAGAGACCCAGAGACTCGCACAGAGACTCGCACAGAGACCCAGAGAATCGCACAGAGACCCACAGTCTCGCACAGAGACCCAGAGAATCGCACAGAGACCCACAGTCTCACACAGAGCCTTAGAGACTTGCACAGAGACTCAGTGACTCACAGAGGGACCCACAGACTCACAGAGAGACCCAAAAAATTAACGTAATTACGAGTTAAACTTGTAACCCACAGTAGCCGCTCGCTCGCAAGGACAGAACAACTTCAATGCGCGAGGAGGAACCACAGACAAGTGGTTCTGCCTCACGCACTCCTTACACACAAATAAACCATGATACCTCGCCGCTGATCTCGTCAAGAAGCATAAACCATCATCACGCAAACTCTGTTCATGCTCACAGATACCCATAGACTCACACAGAGACACATAGACTCGCACATAGACCCATAGACTCGCACAGAAACCCATAGACTCGCACAGAGACCCATAGACTCGCACAGAGACCCATAGATTCACACAGTCACCCACAGACTCACACAGAGACCCAGAGACTGGCACAGAGAGACCCAGATACTCACATAGAGGCTCAGAGAATCGCACAGAGAGACCCACAGTCTCACACAGAGACCCAGAGATTCGCACAGAGACCCAGAGCCCCACACAGTCACCCACAGACTCGCACAGAGACCCAGAGAATCGCACCGAGAGACCCACAGACTCACACAGAGACCATAGAGACTTGCACAGAGACCCAGAGACTCGCATAGAAACCCATAGACTCGTACAGAGACCTAGAGACTCACCCAAAGAATTTCAGAGAGACCCCCAGAATCACAGAGAGACCCAAAAATTAACGTAATTCTAATTTCAACTTGTAACACACAGCAAAGACGGTGGTCACCGTATGGCGTGGCGCTTACAGATGCACTTCTGCGGCCGTCTGGAAGGTTCTTCCTTCCAATGTTAGGAAGCCACTGAGAGCTATGCACTTTTAAATCTTGTAGGTTGAAAACGCATTTCTATAGAACTGATTTTGGTGTTTAGTTTGTTGTCCTTCTCCCGCACCTCCGATCAGCACGGTTGGCTACGTACGGTACGAAAGAAGTTCAACTTACAGTCCAACTCACGTTAATTATCCGTGGATCTGCTCGTGTGCGTCTGTGTGTTTCAGATTTACAAAAACAAAAAGGATCGTGAATATGTTGATGCTCAGGATGAATCTAAGTCAAACTGGATGAGGTGATTTTTGTCTTAAGGACCACAACACAGAGATCAGAACCACCACACACAGAGACCAGAACCACCACACACAGAGACCAGAACCACTACACACAGAAACCAGAACCACTACACACAGAGACCAGAACCACCACACACAGAGACCAGAACCACTACACACAGAGACCAGAACCACCACACACAGAGACCAGAACCACCACACACAGAAACCAGAACCACCACACACAGAGACCAGAACCACCACACACAGAGACCAGAACCACTACACACAGAAACCAGAACCACTACACACAGAGACCAGAACCACCACACACAGAGACCAGAACCACTACACACAGAGACCAGAACCACCACACACAGAAACCAGAACCACCACACACAGAGACCAGAACCACCACACACAGAGACCAGAACCACTACACACAGAGACCAGAACCACCACACACAGAGACCAGAACCACCACACACAGAGACCAGAACCACCACACACAGAAACCAGAACCACTACACACAGAGACCAGAACCACCACACACAGAGACCAGAACCACTACACACAGAGACCAGAACCACCACACACAGAGACCAGAACCACTACACACAGAAACCAGAAACCACTGCACACAGAGACCAGAACCACCACACACAGAGACCAGAACCACCACACACAGAGACCAGAACCACCACACACAGAGACCAGAACCACCACACACAGAGACCAGAACCACTACACACAGAAACCAGAACCACTACACACAGAGACCAGAACCACCACACACAGAGACCAGAACCACTACACACAGAGACCAGAACCACCACACACAGAGACCAGAACCACCACACACAGAGACCAGAACCACTACACACAGAAACCAGAACCATTGCACACAGATACCAGAACCACCACACACAGAGACCAGAACCACCACACACAGAGACCAGAACCACTACACACAGAAACTAGAACCACTACACACAGAGACCAGAACCACCACACACAGAGACCAGAACCACTACACACAGAGACCAGAACCACCACACACAGAGACCAGAACCACCACACACAGAGACCAGAACCACTACACACAGAAACCAGAACCACTGCACACAGAGACCAGAACCACCACACACAGAGACCAGAACCACCACACACAGAGACCAGAACCACTACACACAGAGATCAGAACCACCACACACAGAGACCAGAACCACTACACACAGAAACCAGAACCACTACACACAGAGACCAGAACCACCACACACAGAGACCAGAACCACTACACACAGAGACCAGAACCACTACACTCAGAGACCAGAACCACCACACACAGAGACCAGAACCACCACACACAGAGACCAGAACCACCACACACAGAGACCAGAACCACCACACACAGAGACCAGAACCACTACACACAGAAACCAGAACCACTACACACAGAGACCAGAACCACCACACACAGAGACCAGAACCACTACACACAGAGACCAGAACCACCACACACAGAGACCAGAACCACCACACACAGAGACCAGAACCACTACACACAGAAACCAGAACCATTGCACACAGATACCAGAACCACCACACACAGAGACCAGAACCACCACACACAGAGACCAGAACCACTACACACAGAAACTAGAACCACTACACACAGAGACCAGAACCACCACACACAGAGACCAGAACCACTACACACAGAGACCAGAACCACCACACACAGAGACCAGAACCACCACACACAGAGACCAGAACCACTACACACAGAAACCAGAACCACTGCACACAGAGACCAGAACCACCACACACAGAGACCAGAACCACCACACACAGAGACCAGAACCACTACACACAGAGATCAGAACCACCACACACAGAGACCAGAACCACTACACACAGAAACCAGAACCACTACACACAGAGACCAGAACCACCACACACAGAGACCAGAACCACTACACACAGAGACCAGAACCACTACACTCAGAGACCAGAACCACCACACACAGAGACCAGAACCACCACACACAGAGACCAGAACCACTACACACAGAAACCAGAACCACCACACACAGAGACCAGAACCACTAAAGAGACCAGAACCACTACACACAGAGACCAACCCTGGGCCTCCCCTTGGTCGACTCGGCATCAAATGAGCACCCGGTACGGAGCGTGGTTCCAGCCACACCACCCCCACGTAGCGCCCAGTGCCGGCCCTTAATAGGCGCTCGCTAACAGCGCCCACCCCGCCCCCGCGTCTGCCCGCGCAGGTTCGTCAACTGCGCGAGGAATGAGCAGGAGCAGAACCTGGTGGCCTTCCAGCACCGGGGGCAGATTTACTACCGCACGTTCCGTGCCGTGGGGCCCGGCTCTGAGCTGCTGGTCTGGTACGGCGAGGAGTTCGCCCAGGAGCTGGGCATCGCCTGCGAGGCCGGGCCCTCGCGACGCCGCAGCAGCAGCAACGAGATGGCTCCCAGGGCCACCGCCAGAGACCTGCAGCCCGTGCAGCCTCCACCAAGCGAGGAACACTGTGAGCACCGCTCACCAGAGACTCGCCACTGCTCACCAGACTATAGCCACCACTCACCAGAGATGATAGCCACCACTCACCAGAGATGATTGCCACCACTCACCAGAGATGATAGCCACCACTCACCAGAGATGATAGCCACCACGCACCAGAAATGATAGCCACCACTCACCAGAGATGGCAGCCACCACTTACGAGAGACGATAGCCACTACTCACCAGAGACGATAGCCACCACTCAGTAGAGATGATAGCTACCACTCACCAGAGATGATAGCCACATCTCACCAGAGATGTGGATGTAGCTACCACTCACCAGAGATGATAGCCACCACTCACTAGAGATGATAGCCACCACTCACCAGAGATGATAGCCACATCTCACCAGAGTTGGTAGCCACCACTCACCAGAGATGACAGCCACCACTCACCAGAGATGATAGGCACCAGCCACACTGATAAGGTGGAAGTGAGTAACTGGTGTGGTGTGTAGTAGTAAACATCGCCACTGGGGAGACAAAGGCGGCTATGTGTGGTGCTGGCCACCCTCCCACTCGTGTGCCGTGTTGGCTTTCATTGGTGCCCATAACAGCACTTGTCCCAAAAGTATATACAGGCTATATGGGGGTTCTTTGTCTTTGTGTGTATATATAATGGAGCCCACTGCACTACGAACCTGGCCACCTGAGTTTGATTCCCACTCACGGCCAACGTCAGTGGTGAATATTTAGGCCTCCCCTAGGTTGACTCAGCCTCAAATGAGTACCTAGCTTAAACGTGGAAACATCGCCACTGGAGAGACAAAGGCGGTCGGGCCTGGTGTTGGCCACCTACTCCCTCGTGTGCCATGCCGGCCTTCATAGGTACTCGCAAACAGCACTTGCCCAACAGTCTGATATGGCTGTGGGAAACCTTTACCTTTGTGTATACACACACGTGTGCAAGAGTGTTCATGTCTAGATGTTGGTGTGTGCGCGTGTGTCTTGTTCCTCTGGGATGACGCAGGTGGAGTGGGTGTGGAGGTCACAAGGCTGCCGTGTCCTGCCTGCAACCGTCAGTTCATCTGCCGCTCTAGTCTACAACATCACGTGCAGAGGAGACACCCCACTAAGCCCAGTAACAAAAGTCATCAGTGTGACCAATGTTCATTCAGCACGGACTACAAGTGTAACTTGAAGAAGCACCAGAGAACACACACGGGAGAGAAGCCGTTCAAGTGCACCGTGTGTGAGAAGGCGTTTGCACGGCTATCACATCTTCACAGCCACCAGAGAACCCACACGGGAGAGAAGCCGTTCAAGTGCACCATGTGTGAGAAGGCGTTTGCACGGCTATCACATCTTCACAGCCACCAGAGAACACACACGGGAGAGAAGCCGTTCAAGTGCACCGTGTGTGAGAAGGCGTTTGCACAGCTATCAACTCTTCACAGCCACCAGAGAACACACACGGGAGAGAAGCCGTTCAAGTGCACCGTGTGTGAGAAGGCGTTTGCAGACTCATCACATCTTCACAGCCACCAGAGAACACACACGGGAGAAAAGCCGTTCAAGTGCACCGTGTGTGAGAAGGCGTTTGCACTGCTATCAACTCTTCACAGCCACCAGAGAACACACACGGGAGAGAAGCCGTTCAAGTGCACCGTGTGTGAGAAGGTGTTTTCACAGCTATCAACTCTTCGCCGGCACCAGAGAACACACACCGGCCAGAATGCATTTTCTCATTCCCGTGAAAACAGAAAAGTCTGCCATCCTGAGCAAAACGCGCACAGCGCCGAGCTGTGATTTAGTTTTAAACAACAGGCCACGTGATTAGCTGAGGCTGTGCCACTCTTGAAACTGATTTAAAATGAACACGGAAACCTACGGATCCTCCTACACCTGCCTCACACTCTGTGGGGGGTGGGAGATTAAACCGACCCGGCCACCCCTCGATTGCAAGTGCGGAGTTCTAGGTCCCAACCACTGCACGTCCCCCCCCCACCCCCATCACCTGGGGGTCCCTGTGTGTGTGAGTGTGCAGAGTCCCCCGTGCAGAGCTGCACTGTTGTTACCCTAGAGGGGGGCACCGCAGGGCGATCCACCTACAGATACCCCAGTCTGCACGTCTCCCGCCGGTCTCCATGCGCACCGCGTGCCGTCTCGTAGCCCTGCCCCGTGCGACGTACGTTGCGGGGGTCGCTAGCCCCCGAGATCCCTCCCTCGATAATGCTAACGGCCGGGCTAGCATCATCAATCGCCCCCCCGCTGCTAAGCGAACCGCTGCTAAGTTCCTCACCTATGGTGTGGGAGCCGTCGCCCGCGGATTCCCCTCCACCGCGGGTCCGCGTAATGGGCATGGTTAATCACCGATTAGTATTCTGCCCCTCTCTACTACGATACTTCCCTTTCCTAATCGCGCGCCTGCAACCCACGCGGAGCGAACGCACGCACGCCCACACACACGCCGCTCCGCGCACTCCAACTCAACTCACGTTATACTCGCGCACCTGTATCACACACGGAGTGAACACACGCGACACCCACTCTCGCACCGCTCTGCGCAGCGCTCCCCCGAGGCGAGCCGCAGCACTACAGAATCACTGCGTACCCACGCGCAACCCGCGCGCTCAGCTCCGCGCAGCGCTCACTCACGTGGCGAACCACTGTGCACACAGCGCACCCACACGCTCACACTGCACGACAAGATCACGCGAGACCACGCTTCGCTATTAATGATTTATTATATGCCACCTGCGAATTGATGTTGAATCAGTGAGTCGACGAGGCTGGCCTATTCCACTAAACCTGTACCTATTCCCTATTTATCGGCTTACGATACCCTACTTCACCTCCCCACTCACTGTTTGGTGCCCGCGGAGGTTCGCTGCCTTCTGCGCTAACAGCGTACCTCGATGCGTCGCACGGACGTCCGGGTCGCTGGCTGGAACTCCTGCTGGTCCGCTGGCCTGGAGAGAAGGGGCCATTTCCCCTCTCCGCTCCTCTATTTATCCTCCCTACCTCAAAGGGGATGCTGCGCTGAACAATGGGCTCGTGCACCCCAAGCCCGCGCACGGCGGTTCCCGGGCGCTGTTGATATGCTAATCAGTGTGCTGCGTGCAAGGCGTAAATCCTAATTACTCCCTTACCCTCCCTAACAATGGGGCCTGCGCGCTCAAGCGCAATTATCCCAACCCTCCATGACTATGCGCAACAGCCCCTGTGAGCCCGCTATTCATGCTGTCCCGTGCCTCCCCTGCTTGCCCCGTCGACTCGTGGGGGGTGTGTGTGGGGGGAAATGCGCCTCAACCGCGGTGGCCGAATGCCCCACGCCGCGACCTCACCATATTAAGGCCGGCCGCAGCGCCGCGGTGCCACGTAGCACGGGGAGGTCATCCAATTCCCTGATCGCCGGAAACCGTGAGAATTAATCCCGATAAGGGTCTCTCGGATAAAAACCGGTCGATCAGGTGACCTTCCCTTCCAGCTCTATGGGGGGGGGGGGGGGGGGGGGGGGATGCGTGCGGATGTGTGCTTATGTGGGGCGGGTGATGGGGGGCAGTGCGGTGGGGGAAGCCGGGCGGCTCCCTGGTTCGGCAGAGCGGCCCCGTCGTTGTGGCACCACATAGCCCCCCGGGGTGCCAGTCCCCGTCCCGGGTTGACTGGAGCACCTCGCCTGGGTTGCCCCCACGAGGTATCGCCGTGGGGTCCGCGGGATTCGCCCGGCCCTTGTGGCTGGCCTCGGGGGTGGCGGCTCCGTCTCCTGGGGCTCCGGCGGTGGTCTCCTCCTCCATTCCAACGGCTCCCCTCGGCCCCTGGCACCTGCGGGCTGGGGAACAAACTCAGAGGCGGTGGGGTTTAAGGGTCGCCGTCCTCGTCGCCCCCGGCCCCGCCCGGGGCCCCTCGGAGCCCGGGGCTCCGTGGGGCCCATATACTGCGCGAGGCCCCCGGGCACGGGGGGTGGGGGGACCCCGGGGTTTCGGGGTACTTGGACGGCGGGGCTCCCCCCCTCGGGGGCTGCTCGCCACGGCTTCAGTCGGCGGATGTTGACCACCATCTCCCGGCCCCTCTCTCCTCCCTGAATCAGCACCGTCCATGGTGAGATCTGCCGTCTCACAATCCAGGGTCCTCGCCAGTAGGTGGTCAGCTTCCCCACCTGTCCGGCACCGACGCGGGGAGTGTACAGCCACACCTCGGAGCCCGCAGTGTAGAAGGGGGGCTCCATACGGGGTCGGGCGCCCTGCTCTTGCCGCTGGTGCGCGGCCTCTCCGTGCGGGTAGGCTCGGCCCCTGGCCCCTCGCAGGGTCTCCAGCAAGTGCTCCACGGGGTGGCTCCCTTCCTCCCGTTGCGGCGGAGGGACACCGAACAGCAGATCTGCGGGCAGGCGAGACTCGCGACCAAACATCATTAGGAACGGGGTCTGTCCTGTAGAGGTGTGAACGGCGGTGGTGTAGGCGAACAGGGCATAGGGAAGGTGTTCGTCCCAGTCCTGTTGATTCGCGGCCGCCATGCGTTTAAGCTTCCCGGCCAGAGTCTGGTTCATCCTCTCTACCATCCCGTTCGCCTGGGGGTGATACGCCGTGGTTCGGTCCTTCTGGATCCCGAACTCTCGGCACAGCGCCTGAAATAGTTCGGCCTCGAATTCACTACCCTGGTCGGTAATGACTCGTTCGGGGATCCCGCACTTAAGTACGTAGTTTTCCACGAAGGCCCGGGCCACTACGAGGGCTGTTTTATCCGGGATAGCCACCGCCACGGGGTAGCGGGTGAAGTACTCCACCGCTACGAGAATATATCGGTTGCCCCGGTGGGATCGTGGAAAGGGCCCCTGCAGGTCGATTCCGACCAACTGATTCGTCCGACTGACTCGGAACGGCCTCAGGGGTACCTGGTACCTCGCCGGCTTTTGCCCACACTGCTGACAGGCCCGGCAGCCCTGCACCCAGGCGGCCACATCTTGCGCCAATTTAGGCCAGAGATACTGGCGACGCAGAGTCTCCCGGGTGCGCCGTTCCCCATCATGGCCCCCGAGCGGGTGGTCGTGTACCAGTCGTAGTAGTTGGGGTCGCACATGGGCGGGAACGCAGATGCACCCCGGCTGCCCAGCGTCGGCCAGTTCCCTCACCACCCCGTTTTCTACACACAACCGGGCATACAAACCGCTCCAGGGTCCTGGTAGGGCGCTCTTTTCCTCCCGCAGTGCCGCCTCCACTGCCGCCAGATCCGGATCTCGCTGCTGGGTCTGTCTCAGCTGCTCGTCGTTTAGGCCCGGGAAGGCGCAGCCGACGTCCTCCTGGATCCGTCCGATCGGGTCCCGAGCCGCGGGTCCCGCGCTTGCCGGGCGGTCGACGGGATCCTCGGTGCCACCTGTGAAGGTCTCTGTGGCGCACACTGCACTCTCTCTCGCTGGGGGGGGGTCAGTGGCCGCGGCTTCTCGGGGGTCCGTTGCCTGCCGGCAGCGTCCCCCCGTGAAACACGGGCAGGCCTCCTCCGCCCTCGTCTCGGCGTACACCGTGGGTCGCCTCGACAAGGCGTCCGCGTTTGCATGCGTCCGGCCAGCCCGATACTCGATTTGCAGGTTGTACTCCTGCAACTGCGCCAACCACCGGGCCATCTGCCCCCGCGGCTCCTTGAATGTAAGAAGAAACTGCAGAGCATAATGGTCAGTGCGTACGCGACATCTCCTGCCGTACAAATACGGCCGGAACTGTTTGCATGCGAAAATCACGGCGTACAACTCTTGGCGGGTCACGCAATAGTTCAGCTCGGCCCCACTCAAGGTCCGGCTGGCGTACGCGATGACTCGTTCCGTCCCATCCTGTACCTGTGACAACACCGCGCCCAGCCCGCTGCTGCAGGCGTCGGTGTCCAAAATAAAATCGGTGGTAAAATCGGGGAAAGCGAGGGTGGGGGCGTGGGTGAGGTGATCTTTGAGAGTGGTGAAGGCCGTCTGGCAGGCCCCCGTCCACTGATAGGGGTGCTTAGGGGAGGTGAGTTGGGTGAGGGGGCGTGCAATCTCGCTGAATCCCTTTACAAATCGACGATAATAGGTGGCGAGCCCCAAAAATGATCTGATCTCCGTCAGATTCCTTGGCCGTGGCCACTCCACTACGGCGCGTACCTTCTCCGGATCGGTGTGCACGCCTGCCTCGCTGACGCGATGCCCGAGGTACCCCACCTCGCGTTGTGCCATGTAACACTTACGTGGCTTGAGCTTGAGATGAGCCGCTCGCAGTCGCTGGAACACCTCTCGAAGCCTGGACCAATGCTCAGACAAAGATCTACTGAACACTATCACATCGTCCAAGTAAATCAGGCACTGTTCCCACTGCAAGCCCCGCATCACCAACTCCATCAACCGCTGGAACGTCGCGGGCGCGTTAGTGAGTCCGAACGGCAACACTCGAAACTCAAATAGGCCCATCGGGGTGGTGAATGCTGTTTTTGGCCGATCCTCTTCCGTCATCTCCACCTGCCAGTAACCGGATGCCAGATCGAGGGTGGAAAAATACCGCGCTCCTGCGAGACTGTCGAAGGTGTCGTCGATGCGGGGTATGGGGAAGGCATCGCCGAGCGTGACTGCGTTTAGTTTACGGTAATCGACGCAGAACCGGGTTGACCCATCCTTTTTCGTTACTAGTACCACCGGGGCTGACCAGGGGCTCGCCGAGGGCTGAATTATGTTATCGCGAAGCATGTCCCCAACTGCCTCTTTGATTTGGGCGCGTTCGGGTGCGCCCACTCGGTACGCAGGGAGTTTGATGGGTCGGGCTGCACCGGTGTCAATTTGGTGCTTAACAAGATCGGTCCGACCCACGTCCGAGTCGTGTTCACTGAATACGTCGGCATACTCC